CACATTTATCTCACTCATTTTCTCCTCATTGGTGCGGGACATGAAATCAAAATGTCCTGTAACATAAAAATGCCAATTACAAATTACACATTGGGCGGGTATATTAACAATTGTGGGGGAACAATTAAAGGTTTATTTCATGCTGAAAAGAAAAGAAATACAGCGTTATGGCTGTGGAGCCTTCTTCAGGTGTGGGGGGGAGAGAGGAAAACTGGCAGTGGATATACAGTACAATGGCAGAACAAAAGTGAGAATGGAGAGGAGGTGGGAGCAGGAGAGAGTCGACACTCGGGTGGTTTAAGTCGAGAGGGGTGAAGAGAGGTGTGAAGTCAAAACCTGCAAAAACAATTGTGGTGCCAATTTTGATTGTAGAATTAAACTAATGTGCTGTCTTTTTACTTATTTTATTTTCTCTCAAGTGCTCCTCTCCATACTGCTGAGTGACTGTGCTGGAAGGGTTGTCCCTAATGAATTGTCTATATTATTACTGTATGTTGGGACAGCTTTACTGCAAACAGGGACACCTGGCTACAAGGGGTTACAGTGGCCTTTATTGGTCAAACCTGAGAGGCAACAAAGGAAAATAACAGGACGTTTCACACAATTGTTTGCTCCTTCTTGAATTTCTACCCATTATATAAAAAGATACATCATATGTAATCTACAGTATATAATATTGCAGATTACATTTTATGTATCCTCTTAAAAAATAATGTAGAATCATTATTAAAAGGATATACAGTATATTATAATATTTAATTAATATACTAATGTATGGGATATTCAGAAACAAAAAACCTTTTAGCAAATACAGCCTACTTGATTTTTATGCTAAAGTCACTGTTTTTTACTCTAATATGTATGTGACCTAACTTTGGTTAAATTAATTGGGTCTATTGTGTGACATTGTATTTATAGCCTGCCAGTATGTGCAAACATATGCAATATTTAGCATATAACTTCATAAATACGTATTTTAAACAGCTTTAGAAATTATATATAGTATGGTGCGATTATATTCCTACAGTTTTCACATTCATTCAATGAAAATTTGCCACAGGCATGATTAAATTGTATATGTGTCATCATTTGAATATATAAAGGAGAAGAAAGTATCTTAACTATTTATCTGTTAAGGTTCAGTTTTATTATTGATAGACGTACATACATCCTTCTACAATATAAGTTTAATGAAATTTGGTGTGAAAGGAATAAAATGAGTTAACATAGTGTGATAAACCAAACCCATGTAAATATGAATCTATACGTGTAACAAATTATCTGAAGTGTTCAAGAAACGTACTGAATTCCTGGACAAAATTGATTAGCCCCTATGAAAAATATTACTTTAATGAAATTAAGAGATTTTAAGGAAAAAAGTTTTTAAAATGCCATACAATGCCAAGTTATGGCATGTTATCATGGAACTTTATGTGTTCATTAAACAAGACTGATGGACCTAAGAACTTTTAAATTTTATTTTCTAGGAAGGTACATTAAAAATTGTGTGATAAACAGTAAGTTTATATGCAACTGGTGAACTCTTCAGTGCATTTTTACATATGTTGTTGTCAACAATATGGAAAAATGTATTTGTCATTAGGACTTCAGCAGCTGTGAAGACAACTTTTGTTTTCTCAATTGTTTTATTTTATTGTCCTAAGACAGAGCAATGTCCCTGAAGCGATTAATGGCTTTCCTCTATGAGCTCTGTGTTGATAGCAGCCCTGACAGTTGTGTACATTCCATCCACTAATAAATTATTGTTCCTCAAATAAACCATTGGGGGTAGAAATGTCTTTGAGAGGCATGAAGAATTTTAAAGAGATTTGTTCTCATTTTATTACACATTCTTCTTGCGTTCTTTTTCAACACTTACAGTACACCCTCGTGAACTTGAAGAATTTGTATTAGTTTTGTTTTTATGTCAGACAAGAAGTGACATTGTGGATTTCCATTAATTACATGAGCAGATAACCTTTGTCTTTATTTTCCTTTTGCCTTTTAATGTGACAGAAAGCAGGCGCCCTGAATATTTGGTCTCCTCAAACTGCAAAAAGAAGAAACATATTTTTTTAAAAAATGTAACAGTTAATAGTGCTTGCAAAATCTATTTACACACTTGCAACGTGTCTGCTTCAATAGTAGTGTTTTGAAAATGAAATAATCCATATTGTCAGAACTAAAAACAAGATTCCTATTTACCCTTTTGGCAATTCTGAATTAACAAAATTATTTGTTTGTGGGGATATGATTTGTAATTCCCAGCTCTCATTTCTTTCCTTTCACAATAAGTTACACATTTTATTTGTACATTAAATTAACTCCTATGAGATTATTTCTTTATTATAGTGGTATTGTCACTCATATCATAAAAAAATCCTCCTTCCTATTTACTCCACAATTTTTTGTTCTTGACGATTTCAATCAGCTAGTTATTGTATTTTTTGCACTAACCGGACTACATATGCCAGTTTACTTCTTTAAAGAGATCCAGAATACCTGCAGACTCACCAGCCTTCCAGGATCAGGATTGAAGATCTCTTTTTTTACAAATTGAAAATTCTCCCATCTTTTCCTACAGGACACTGCTTTCTCCCAAAGAACTTTAAATGAGTTGGTTTCCAATCCCAAACCAATCTGTTTAGCAAATGTTGATACACTGATACATGCAGTAATCATCAAGCATTTACATACAGTAATTCATGGACAATAATGTAATGCTACATAAAATGACAAAGTTGCAGAGTTGTGATTGTCGTTCTAACGTCTTATTGTTTTGTATTGTACCAAACTACCACGATTATCACGAATGTCAGAAGGGACGAACCGTGGAATGGCATCAATACCAATGCCTAAGCAAACTCTACAATAAATAATACCCCATTCTATACTTGACATATAATAACACCAAGCCAAAGAAAAAATAAGGTTGGTAAACAAAAAGGCTCAAACAGACAACAGTAAATTACATGCAACCACAAACCTGAAGTATACTGGGCAAAACTAGACTCTAAAGTCTGAATAGTGTTCCCCAGAGTGACCCCTGTATATGTTCTGTGTACCCATTTATGAAGTAAACTTTCTATTCAATCTCCATTTGCTTCGGATAAAATAATGTAATCATCTTAACGTACTGTACTCACAGAACCAGTCCTTGGTTCCAGATATGTTCTGTATGCAGCTTATTACACTTATACTGTACCTTCCTCCAATCAATTGATGATCCAATTAACTGTAATTAAATTGTAACTCAAAGTCAATTTATTATAAAAATTAAAGTGTATGTTGGGTGTCTTTTGAACAGAAATCAGTATTGTATGTACCCAATATATTATAGCTTTTTCTAGAAAATGAAAGTTATGTGTCTACATAAAGACTTTCTCATAAGCAGTCACTTTAAGCTTGGTGTTTCCCAGTTGGTATTTGGAGTTTATGTTATTCCGGTCTCCATACAACAGAAATACTCTTTTATATTACTATGTCATGTGCCAGGTGTGTGTCGAGTCCTGCCTTTGGATTAATTTCTTTTGATTTTAATTTGCAGCTTCTAGACATACTTCACATCCTACTAGTTTGGCAACGCCTGCAAACTTGCCTAGTTTAGTATACCAAATTCTACTGTGGTTCTTTGATATAAAATAAGAAGGAACAGTAGTCCTAATACAGATCCCTGAGGTCCTCCATTAATTACTTCACTCCAACCTGAGCACTGACTCTTTATTTGCATTCCCTGTTTTCCATTTACCAATTCCAAAACCTTCTGAAAATCTCAGTATGCCATCCCATATTCTTTGTTAATGTCACTGACCACCATGTGATAAATGAACAAGTTAGTTAAGCAAGACTGATGTTTTCTAAATATATATTGACTGTTCCTTAGAATTTTATTACCATACAGATGATCATCTAGTACTAGTAATTTCCTTAACTGTGCCTCTAATAGACATGCTGGTCCTTGTTTTGACTCTGTCACCGTTTTTATGGATGGGCACATAATATTGTATATTTTATATCAAAGAACTACAGTAGAATTTGGTATACTAAACTAGTCAAGTTTGCAGGTGTTACCAAACTAGTATAAAACCTTACATTTTATAGTCAGTGGGTGCTACCTCAAGACTGCTGCTACTGTACGAAATTAATGGCACATGAAAAACATCTGCTGTTTCTTAAAGGACAATAGCTATAGTACTATTGCATCCTGGAGATTATCTTAAGTGCTTCTACTGTAGTACCTGCATTACTTCTGTCTTCTCTGTCCAATTTATCATTAAGTTATCCAGCGTAAGGCTTTCTAATCCCTCAGCCTTGAGCAAGTTGTTTATACATTCATGAATAATATTCATTTAATACATCAGCCATTCCCCTTTCATTTTCCAAGACTTTCCTATTTTTATCTCTGAGACATTTTACTTCATCCTTGACCATTTCTTTTGCTATTCTAATACAGAATGTTACCCGTGATCGCAATCCTTTCTGTCTCTGTCACACCCTTTCTAATATCCTTTTAAAACCTGCTCTTGTAGCAGCTCAGAAGGGGCATTTTCTTGAAATGGATCTTTTTTGGGAGCTCTAAAAAGTGTTTTTTCTTCTTATACTCTTCGTAATTTATTTTATTTTACCATTCAGGCTTTTATTGTACTTTCCTGGCATTACACATGGCCTCTACAGTGTCAAAGTATATTTCAAAGCATACCCTGTCATTTTCACATGGTCGCATAACTTTGATTTGGTCAGAAATCACCAGCATTGTTTTGCACAAGTTGACGTCATACAGATGCCTGCACAGAAGGCATTTGCATCACTTCTGGGAAAACGCAATGCTGTTGACAAGTCTCTCTTACTCGTGTATGGAAAGATGAGGTCTACCGTCAGCAACGTTATGAAAATGATAAAAATCGTTCCATACCGGGAGTGACTAGGTTCATCTCATGTTTACATCGATGCTACACGTGGTAAGAATTTCAGATAACATTTCTGTCCATTTGTCATTCAAGCCTGCCCACCAGGTACGTACAAGCCTGAAGGCACACCAGGCGGTGTCAGCACCTGTCTCCCGTGTCCAGACAAGCACCATACTTCTCAGCCAGGAAGCACCTCTGTCAAGGACTGTGTATGCAAGGATGGTCACAGGCCTGTTGGAAAGTCGTGTGAAGGTGAGTTCTGAGATTACACAATTTCAGGCTCTTCTAAAAACTGCTAGGGTTCTGCATCCCAGCAGGATTCAAAAGACTTTGACCCTCCTGTTCGTTTGTCGCTGTTGCTCGACGATTTGCAAACGATCTGCTCTGCAGTTTCTGTGTTTGGTACGGGTGTCTCAGAAACCGATAGATCTTTACTTATAAAGATGACCTGAGTGGAAATGTAGCTGCCTGAGAGCCCTTGGTGGGCAGAGGTAACCAAAAAAAGACAGGCTAACCAGAGAGAAAGGGACATTCATGAAGCACCATCCGCTGACACTGAGTTGCTGCCATCTACTATATACTGTATATCTTTCTGTTCTAGAAGTGACATTCAAGTAGAAAAGCAGAAAAAATGCTTTTTTTTTATACCGGAATGTTCCTTTTTCGATTGATTCACTAGTGGTTCGCTGCCCTGAGATTCACCCACCAGAAAACGGTTTCTTCATCAAAAACGTTTGCAACAGCCACTTCAATTCTGCCTGCGGAATCCGCTGCAAGCCGGGCTTTGATTTGGTTGGCAGCAGCATTCGGTTGTGCCAGCCCAGTGGAAAATGGTCAGGAACCGATCCGAGTTGCAAAGGTAAGAGCCTCCACCTGCTTGCAGTTTCTGATCCAACGCGCTCCTCTGTCTGATAATTGCCACTTTCACTCACCGGTCACGTCTTGTTTTGAATCAGTCTGCCAACCGAACTATCTGTAAAATCTGTGTTTTTTTCCTATGCGACAGCTGTGCCTTTTTTGTTAGGCTGTCATAGCGTGCGTCCGATTTTGCAGAGCTCCCAATAACTGGCTCACTTTCATTTTAGGCATAGCGGTGTAAATACAAACATAATTTGCATTTGCATTTGCACTTAATTCTACAATTGATAATTCTTCAAAGAGCAAAACATCTGTAAAGCATTGCTCAATGGGTGATCCAATCTTTCTGGACACTTTGTTTCCTAGAAAAGCCTTTCAGCCTGCTCATTTTCCATTTTCTTTTTTTTTTTCCCAAAACCAGTAAAATACAATGAAAAGATGTTCTTTGTGGATGGGATTTGGATTATTTTCACATGCTTTCCAATTAAATCTGACGTAAACAATGACCAGAGGGCTGCCAAAGCATGCCAGACCAGGCCTCACAGTCTTTCCCTTTTCCACAGTTTGCGCAGGCAGAAGCAGCACCCACAGCTCACTGTATCTTTCTGATAAAAGCCCTCCCACACTGAGGAGAAAACCAAACATTTGTTTCTTTTCACAGAGTCAGGGAATGAATGTCAGGTTGTGTTATAGTCCTCAGACTAACTAGGCACAGCCTCATGGGCTGTGAGCTGTTATAGCATTTTGCTCTGCAATAAATTACTGTATTCCTCATTTAAACCTGAAAAAAATAAATAATCATGCCTTCTCCAGAAACTGTTGTTTTTTTTCTTCAGGTGGAAAGCACGAGCTTTTACTGCACCCTCCACGGGGATTTAAGCTCTTAGACCTGGTGTGTTCGTTGAAAAGTGTTTTTGTTTGTCTTCTCTTATTTCCCTTTCTAGTCCGGGCATGTCCAAGGCTCAGTAAACTTAAACACGGGCACATTAAATGCTCAGCTCCTGATGCCTCCTATAGGACGACATGTGATGTGAGATGTGAAGAGGGGTATCGACTGGAGGGCAGTGCACGACTGACTTGCCAAGCCAGTGGTCGGTGGACCAGCCCAGTGCCACAGTGTGTTGGTAAGGATCCTTGTTGGTTAGCTCTTTTGTTGTCTGTTTTGTGTTGGTTTAGCATGTGGAGAAACAGTGCAAGGAGAGACCTTCTCACTCATAAATTGAGGCCGGTGTCACACGGAAACTCACGTGAAGTCTATATAGGAACAAGTAATACTGTAGGTTTATTCCATGCTGAAAAAAAGAAGAGAGAAAACACAACGTTTTGGCCATGGAGCCTTCTTCAGGTGTGACACCTGACACCTGAAGAAGGCTCCACAGCCAAAACGTTGTGTTTTCTCTCTTCTTTTTTTCAGCGTGGAATAAACCTATTACTTGTTCCTTTGCAGCCTACGCATGCTGACACAGCTGCAGTACCTACTAAAACATTTTCAACCCAGTGCTACTGTACTGTAACTGTGAAATTAAGTAACAGTTCTATGTTTCTACACGGAGCACAGCCCACTCTTCCGTTATTATGTTTAAAATTCTGTGTTGTAACAGTATTTTTCTCTTTTTTTACACGTTAGGCTGGGGGATAATATAAAACTAAAAGGCCACAAGCTGACAGTGCAGATAGCTGAAACAATACAGTATATGGGTTTAAGTGAAAGTAAAAGGCTCACTGACCCTCATTGTAGGTTTTCATGGCACCATAATAGATGTAAATTAATAATGTCTGCGCTCTTAACGGTTGTAATTAAGATTCTAACTGCTGCTAGTCACTTTTAGTTTATATCATTTTTACCACATCTGTTTTTCAAAACTAACAGAGTAACATCTTCAGCTCTGCCTCAGATTAAAAAAATGTTTCAGTCTTGTTTTTCAGGCTCAGTTTCTTGCGCCTTATTTTACTTATCAAGCCCTGCCGATCAATAAACTCTGGCTCATATGAAGCGCATTAATCCTGCCCTTCCAAATGGGCCAAAGGCAGAACCTCAGCCTGGGCTCAGCATATGCTCTGTATTTAAGGCAAACTGTTTAAAACGACTTCAAACAGCAATATATTCCTTTTCAAAGCTTTTATTGCGAGTGGTCTGACACACAAAAAAAAAATCCTGTGGTGGCACAAGTCAGAGACTGAGGCCGTGAAGAATGCTGCAATGCTTCTGGAATGGAAAGGGTAACAACAAGTGTTTATCCAAACCTCAGTCCACCTTTTTTTTTCTGAGTGAGTCAGAGTTTTTAAAATCACTAATGTCTGCTGACTTACAAGAAGGCATTCATCAGCGTTCTCCCTGCTTAGGTCTCTCCTATTTAGCCTAACCAGAATCCAAGAGTTGGTGCTGAATTAGACTACAAGCCCTGAATATTTGGTCTTTTGACATCCCGACCTTTGACTTTACTAAGCACTGATGTTAAAAGACTCAAGAACAATTGACCGAATATTAAGATATTTTGGGATCACCTGGTACTGTCAGTGTTATTTCAACTGAAGGTCTTACAGTTGAACAGTTCAAATGCAATCCATTCTTACAACACAACTTTCTGCTTAAATACAGTACATGGGCAGAAAAGCAATTTTGTACTTCTAAACATATTGTAACAATACAACGCATTATACAAGACTTCAAGTCTGGGTTTGTGTTCAGCCCCTGTGGTCATATAAGTATATGACTGCTCCCAGACTGGCGTCGCTATTAAAGTGTCAATTCAGTCATTTCTTTCCAGCATGTATCTAAAGGTTGCGGTTATTGTCGAAAACTACTTTCACTTTCAGATCCCATGGGTGCACTTTCTCTGTGTTGTAATATGTAGAACAGCAGACAAAAGGCTTGTTCCACTGAATCGCAATTCCTAGTGGCTACAGCTCACCTGGAATACCCTTCTCACCCATGTTGTTGAAACTGATGCTCTATCATCATCAGGGGAAATCTAAATGATCTTTGCATCAGTAAAGTACTTACAACTCAATGGGTTAGATGTGCCAAACGACTGCTTCTTGGCTGAAACATGGTTTCTTGTTATTAAGTTTAGTTTCAGTAATTTGATCACATTATGACAACTGTGCAATTTCCCGACAAAGAAGATTTTGTCTTTTGAAAGTTGTGCAATGTGAGTTTTCAGTGTTTCTTTATACATGCAAATTTGGGTATCCCTTTGTAGCAATCTGGGTAAAGCACTCCATTCAAGAAATTTAAACCCACAACACTAAGAATGATTTTGTTTTGCTGACTATAGATATTTAGCAGACAATCGGCATCCCAAAAAACTGGACTGAACCTTTGTGGTTCCGTTTCTACTGTATATGAATAGTGAGTACATTTATTGGGGCTAACCATGGCTTGTGACAATTTTTAACAATATCCTCCATTAAACATTTTGCAATAGAAAATAAGAAGCAGGGGTTATTATGAATTAGAATTATTTAATATTACATAGGTAAAGCAATAATACTGTGTATGACTGGGTCAAACATACAGCACAGCCAAGTTCTAAAAATGTAATAAAATGTCTTTGTTACTAAGATTTGTATTCTATGTGATTGTATTTATACTTTCAAAATATCCACATTTGGGTTGTATATTTCAAATCATTGAAGGCTACAGTATGTTGCTAGGCTTACGCACTATAGCCTTCGATGAGTTGAAACTGTGCTTATCAAAAACAACTTAATATACCACAAACATACTTAATATTGTAACACCAGAAGCATCTCAGTCTTTATTATGGGTCAAACTCACATAGAGACATAGCAGACAAATACATAAAGAACTTGGTAACCTAGCAAAGATGTATTTGGCAGCTCTGAGCATCCCTGGGGATGTAGGAATTCACAGTATAATATATCTGTTTATTAAGCTGTGCCCTGCTGATAATGATTAATACACTCTTGTAAAAGACAGCTGAATGCTTATTCAAGTTTTGTCAGATTCAGTTATTTTTTTAAGAATAGTAACTTGTACCATTTGGATTAAAATCACACACCCAGAAGTGACATGAATCACTTTTACTAAATGAAGCTCTGTCATGACCTGTTTGTTCTTACTGGAACAATGGGTTTAGTAGAGATGTCCCCCGTAAACGTTTTGCAGAAGCTGGAGACGAAGAACAGCCCTTCCTCTTCATTTCAGGAGCACGTGCTGATTATGGGATTTCTCCAACCACTGCAAGCAAGGGAGGCATTTGTCATCAGGATCAAGACTGATTCTGCTGATCTGTTAGAATTTGTGAATTCCAAAGTGAAAGGTTACTATTTGGTTCTGCTCTGGGACTTCCATTTGGCGGTTCTGACTGGAATGGCTGCTATTATTCAATACAGAATAACCCTTGGCTGCAGATCTGCATTCTGGAAATGGCAGTGTAGTGCTCTTTACGTTCTTTACAGTGTAGTGCACTGATCCAGTGTCATGAAATATTTTGCACAAGCTTTCAATGACAATGGAGTCAATTAAGGACATGTGCTGTGAAAGGATACCACGATATCTAATATTGTTCTGTAATACAATGAGGTTTTCAACTAATTAGCATGCCTTTCTTAACAATCCTGAAAATGCTGGAAAGCTTGTGGTGAAGTTTCTATTTTACAACTGTACACAAACAATATACTGTGTCAATTAGTTTGTGTTTAGGTGGTACAGTATTTCAGACTTCTGTGTAAAGGTAATTTGCAATGTGCCTCTTTGCATTTTAAGGCAAGTAAGGTCTTGTGCTCATTTTCTCAAATTACATACTGTACATATTTAAATCATATTCTAGGTTTACTCTAAAGTAAATCAAACCACATTTTAAATAATTAAAAACACAATTCAATAATGTTGCTCCTCGTATTTTCATACTTGGTTCCTTGAAATTCCTAAAAATGTGAAGGCTTAATGTAACCTTATTTCTTTTTTTTTGTCAAGACTGTATGTAATTATACTTTATATTTTACTTTCTTTTGCTTTTGTTTTGAATCCCATGTTTCATTTGCTTCTATTACAGAGATCCACTGTCCACCCTTGCAGAAACCTAAAAATGTGCTCCTGTTGCCCCCTACCTGTGGAGATAAGGAAATGAAGATGGGAACTACATGCCAGCTGAGCTGTCACCATGGCTACAGTTTATCAGGAGAGACAGAAGTGCAGTGTTTGACCTCAGGAAAATGGAGCACAGATGTTCACAGGGCCATCTGTACAGGTACAGTCCATGTCGTTTTAAACACTGTTTTCTAAAGTTTTAGCACAAGGGTAACTTGAATTCTGAGCTGGATAATTATGCTTTATGAGTGCTGTATATGTTGACTCGTTGATTACAGCATTGTTTGTTAAGTTCGGTCATTAAATAAATGTTCATGGAAATTTGAAATGAAAATTATAACATGCTATAGGGACATTGTTAAAGTACTGTAAATACAGTACCTCAAATATGAAAAAAGCATCTTTTTTTGCTAAAGAAGATATTTACTTAGCAAGTTCCTAAATACGTAGCTGAGACTTACTGTCGTAAAGTACGTTTGTCATAAAACAATTTGATTTAATAAGGGAAACTTGCCCTGTGATGGACTCACATTCTGTACAAGGTGTCTCCCACCTGGCTCCAGTTCCTTTGTTGGGATAGGTGCTGCCTGTCCTGTGACCATGTGCTGTTGCATAAATGGGTCAGAAAATGGATGGATGGATGAAAGTGAAACTTACCAAATACAATGCTGTTAAGAATCGCACTTTCTTCACTGATTAACTTCCCAGAAAGTGAAAAATTAAGAACTGGTAAATCTACAGTATGTAGCTTTTCCTCACAAAATTACCAAATTTAAATTTAAAGTTTAAATTACATGCAGTTAAATTCCAAATCCCATCAATAATACCTCACACACAAGGAATTTACATTATGTAAACTGTAAATGTAACGTGTTTGCCATTTAGAAAATTGGATGTTAGACAAGCTCACATTATAGGAATTGATATATCTGAATTTTATAATTAATAGACATGTGAATTGCGTATATCTACAACTTCTTGATAGAGTTAGGTTGCTCAAAATCTAATTATTTCAAATAGGCAATGAGAAATGATTGAATTTAAAGTCAGACAAGTGCTTTCATTAACAAATCAAAAAAGCTAAAACTAAGATATTTCATAGTTACTGTATCAGCAGATTAGACAGGATCGATGCCAATGTGTTTTATGAAATTGGATCCTTTTGACTTGCTACTGACATTAAAAATTCATGTAATATAAATTATTTTCATATTAGTGAGCACAAGAGTTGTGCTGTGCCTTTGCATTAGTGTGAAGAGCACCACACACCATCAGGGCAGCCTGCTCTGATAATAGAAACCAGTCTTCACAAAATGTGAAATTTAAGTGAGAAAACATGAGTCACTGACGCACCCCTAGAAATAATATGTAATTCATGCTTTCTCTATATCATTTTTCCCACTGGCCTATCTGTCACACTCTGTGTTTATTTATTGAAAATATAGATATTGAACCACCGCAAATTAACTGCCCTAAGGATATTGTGGCTGAAACCATGGAGCATCACAGCTCAGCCAATATAAGCTGGATTGTCCCCAACGCAAGAGATAACTCAGGAGAAGAGGTAAGCTTTGGCTTTCAGTTTGTTTAACGAGTCATTTTCTGACCATCTGGCAGTTCAAGTCATCTCCCAAGAATATCGACAATCTTCTCAGGGAAGGGCAGGAGCTCACTTTTGGACATTCCCATTTGAAGCATGTACTGTATGACCTTGGTGTAAGTTGGATCCTCATGAAGAATTTTTGTAATCAGTTTTTTAGACATACTTCATCAAAAAATATACCAAGGCTTGTTTTCACTTTCATCGTGCTAAGCTTGTACATATTTTATGTGTTGAGTGGTATTCCTGACTTGATTTTGGAATCGTAAGCTCTGGACAGGAATGTTTTAATCCTCATTACACAGCGCAGCAATTTCCAGTCTAGCTTCTGGAGAGCTGGTGTGTCTGCAGGTTTTCATTCCAACTCAGCTCTTAACAGCCTAACTCATTCATTTAAATGAACCTTGTTTACAAATATGGCCCAGTCCTTCAGGTACAGTAGTTCAAAGAGAACTAGAAATACTGCAGGCAGAGCAGCTCTCCAGCTCCAGACTTGGACAATCGATGCCTAAAGTACTGTCTGTTTGTTTCCCCCCAAGGTATCTATTCAGGTGACCCCAGTGTTCATTCCCCCTCTTCTGTTCCGTATCGGCGAGGTCAGGATTACTTACACAGCAGAAGACGGCTCTCACAATAAGGCCTCGTGCTCTTTCAATGTCAAGGTGATTGGTAAGTGAAGAGCTGATTTCCAGAAAAAAGATTTGAAGGGAAATATCAGCCTTACGTTTTCCCTTTATAATGAATTCTCAAAAATAACATATATTTTACTCTATACTGTAAGGGCCATACTTGAATATTCAAATCCATTGCATCCTAACATCAAACTTTCCAGACCTTTAAATTTTTTATTTAATTTTTGCTTTACAGGAATAAAGAAATTTCCCATAATGGTAAATATCCCTTAGCAAGCTGTCTAGTGTAAGACAAGTATGTTGAGGAAAGCATTGGTTTTTAAGTTTTTAAGTTAAAAGCATTGCTTTTTGTTTTTTTAGCTTCTCAGTCACATTCACATTCATCTGTATTCCTGCCAAAGACAAAAAAGTGTGTATGAATCTTTAAGGAGGGGCAAATACAGCAGTGAATGCTACTATACTATTATAGTAGTTTTCTGCCATTGAGCAGCAAGGTGACATGGTAGATGGGGCAAATAAAATTGCTTTAGTGACATTGAGCGACCAAGTTTGTGCACTGATTTTGATCCTGAAAACTTGACATCAGAGTATTTGTCCTCCTCGAATAAAAAAATATAAGATGTTTCCTTGACTTTGATGACTGTGATTCACTGGGGGCACAATGCACCTGCCTGCTTTTACTTTACATGTATTTTTTATGGGGGAAGTGATGTATTATGGGGGACGAGGATTTCTTCGAAAGGCTGTCATGTTGAATCTGCACCGGCTATGTATCCTAATGGATGAGAACGAAAATCCAGTTACTTTGTTAATAGAGCTCATAAAAGAACAATCCTGCATTCAGTATGTGCACAGACTAGGAGCCTCAATGCGACTGAAGCGTATTTGTTGACACCTTTTGACAGCGGTCTGATGCTCAAGGAACAGCTCAGTGATCCGATGTTGAAGAAAATGAAAAAGATAAACATAAACATAAACTTAGCAATGCAGTCCTAGCACTACAAATGCTGACAATCCTTTCCCTCAGATGTCTCCGATGTGTCAGTTGTCTCTGCGATTTCCTTGTCTTGACTCCGGTCTCTCTGCTCTTTAGACACGGAGCCCCCAGTCATTGACCGGTGTCGTTCCCCGCCCCCGTTCCATACCTCAGAGACAGAGATGACTGCAGTCTGGGACGTGCCACAGTTCTCTGATAATTCTGGTACTGATTTTGAGAGAATCTGTTGCTTTATTACGTTAAAACGAGGCCTAATTTGCAGTGAACAAGCCTGGGTAATGCTTTAGCCTTCCGTAAGCCTTGATGCGTCATTACATCCTTTGGGTTTTGTGGGACACTGGGCAAACACGCCGATTCCTTCTGGCTAACCAGGACGAGCCATACATTATAATTCACCACAATGACATACTGCATCCTATGTCTGTCCCCACACCACAGTTGTATTACAGTAGCTTTCCTGTGGAGTGAACCCTTACAATTAATTGTGTAAACCAGTGATGAAGATGGCTTTGCTGTTTACGTGCCTCTGCTCTAAATAAACCAGACAAACGTCACACAACTTATGCATGTTTGTATTCCTATTCTTAACGATCATGTGACGTCCAGTGATGCTGGCATTGCGTTGCACACTTATTTTGGCATATTCTGTTTCAACCAATGTGGAAACTAATTACAGTACAGCTAAATGAATAAGTACTGTAGACTCAACAGCTGTCATTTCACTTTAATGCTCATAATGCAGCAAATATATTTCCCAAACATCACTGAAATACTATGTACAAACCAAAATACCTCCTTTCCAAGCATTGAAACACCCAACTAAATAGTAACCTACTGCACAGTGTAGTTTGTTTAGGACTTGTCTTATGTTAGCAGTGTTCTGTGCTGCCCTCTTTTGTACTGTGCAGGTATTGAAACTGTTATGTTGTTGGATGCTGGATAACTTGGATGCTGTGCTGAAGAACTTACAGTATACAAGATAAGAAGAGTTAAAAAGGTGCTAAATTAGTAATAATAATAATAATTATCATCATAAAAAGGTAAAATGGAATTCGAATTCTAGCAACAGAATAATGATAGATATGAGCCAGTACATGTGTGTGTCCATCTAACATTTGATTGTTGTTGTATGACATGCTTGTGTCACCACCAGGAGCTGCTGTAATGATATCAAGCACTCATTCTCCTGGAGACCTGTTTCCTATCGGGGAGACAGTGGTTCAGTACACAGCTACTGATCCATCTGGCAACAACAGGACCTGTAATATACACATCATCATTAGAGGTCTGTGGTCATTCAAGCCTCGGGATCAGAAACTGTATAAATAAAATCTGAGCCTTTAGTGATTTAGTTACAGACTCTTCATTTGATTTATTTTTTCAATCAGCAGAATTAAAACTCTTTTCAGCTTTATAAGACGGCTGGATTTTGATTTTTACAGCTGTCCAGTTTTCCGTTGTCAAATATTTAAATGATGAAAAGCGTGTCCAGATTTGAAGATTGTTTTAAAAGTACTCCACAGTTTCTTCAGCTAACGTATACAGTGTTTGCATGTGCAGGATCATTTTGCGAGCAGCCCTTCCACCCTGTGAATGGAGAATTTACCTGCACAGAAGATGAGCATGGCGTGAACTGCACACTGTACTGCAAAGAGGGGTACAGTTTCACCCATGAGCCCATTCACAGCTACTATTGTGCAAATGATGGGATGTGGGAACCCCCTTACTCAGCAGAGTTCTCTGACTGTTCCTGTAAGTACAGTACTTCTCTATTAGTGCTACCAGCACTTCCCCCTTCGGTATTATAAAGGTATACATTTGTCGTGTCCTGGGAATGAACTTCTTACCACCCTTGCAAAACAGCTCTTGTGGAAAACTGGCCGTGCTTCTTATGAATCCGAAGACAATCCATTGAAATTTCCAAAACAATGTTAAAGACAGATTTTTTCCTTTATCATCTCATTATCTCATTATTTTAGGCACTTTAAACAGAGCAACAATTCGAAATAGTCCTTTTAAACTCTTCATGTAAAATGAACGGATTTTCTTTAAGTAAGTACTGTACTTAAAATTAAAATGGGAATGACTTGTACTCATAGTTATGTACGGTGAAATGTACTAGAAATAATTTGGCTGATAAACATCAAGTCAAAATTAGAGAAATTGTCACATTCTTTTTCAATTAGGAGCTGTGTTACCTGCATAATGATGCTATAGCATTCATAAGATTATAAGGTTATATGTTTTCAAAGAATGATATAACGCTTATGTATAATGTTATAACACATTATATGGCTTCTAAGAAGACGTTATGAAGGTATTATAAAAACTACATAAAAGCCTAATTCAAAGAGGTTCAACCAGAAAATCTTTGAATTTTTTTTGTGTGACTTTCTGACCTGATGTCTTTCTTGTTGATTCGTCCCTGACAGTGAATCGCATTGCGAACCATGGCTACAAACCCTTCGAGATGCTCTTTAAGGCATCCAGATGTGATGACATTAATCTGCTCAAAGCATTCTCTGGCGAATTTTATACTACACTTCAGGGTGAAGTAAGAACGCAGTTACTGAATACTTTCTCCATGTAATTTCATTCCTATAGATCCAGGATACTCAGCCTGAGGCCCTAACAATTTCTTCATTGCTGCTCCTTGGTTATGACCAACTCTTTATTTGATGACCAGCTCCTATATTGAAAGTGCTAATTACCATCAATTAAATGACCAAAGAGTTGGTTGCAGCTAAACCGTGTAGTGGAGTAGATTGGAGTAGTAGACAAGTAGTGGTAAAGACAGTATTTTATCCCAGGGCTTCACACTCCTGATCCTGGGAGGCTACTGTGTCTTTGGGTTTTCAGTCCAGTTGCCATCTTAACGCCCTTAATCAGCTGAGTATTGGCTTAAATGGACAAGTTTTACAAGCTTCTCCAAGCTCTTCCTGTGCCGGTGGTTTGAAGATAACATAAGATCACTTTATTAGCCATATACAATTTCTTGCATTAGGAATTAGTCTTTTTGCAAACCCCATCTTGCTCTCCATAAAGACACAGACACACAGACAGAGACGCTTGGGGTCAGAGCGCAGGGTCAGCCATTGTACAGCGCCCCTGGAGCAGCTGGGGTGAAGGGCCTTGCTCAGGGGCCCAACGGAGTGGGATTCCTCTGCCGGCCGCGGGATTTGTGTCAGCAACCTTCCAGCCACAGGCGCAGATCCTTAGCCACAGTGCCGCTGCTCAGCCCCAAAGACCTGTAAAACCTGCAGAACTCTGCTGTATCCCCTGACATGTTATCCAAGAACGAAGCACCCATGAAAAAAGCTAAAAGGGGGCTTTTTTTTCACTACAAACAATAGTGGGGTGCAACAAATGCTAAGCACCCATTGGATGAACTCTGTTGTTTAGCACATTGCTTGCATATGAGTTCACATCCTTGTTTTATACAAAATACCCATATCTGGGAACCTGCCCACGCAACGTGCACAACTCCTGGTTTAATTTGTGCATCCTCCTTGCAACTGGTACTACACACGTACAAATATTTAAAAAAGGTTACAAATGAGAGGAGGCTATTCTGCTCGTCGTCTTTTCGGTAGACGTTTATTGACCTGAGCCATTTCTTGAAAGAAGCCAGGGTTCCTGCTTCAACAACATGGCTCTAGAGCTTCTTCCATACTCTCAAATCCCTTTGTTTAAAAAGGTGCCTCCTGTTCGCAGATGTAAATGCACATTTCTAGATTTTGTTTTCCAAAGAATGGACATAACATGCAGTACATAATAATTGTGCTAAAGGCCTGGAAGAAATGGACATTTCAGTCCTGTGTGTCTATTGGTTTTCACAGGTTCCCTCATTGTGCAGTGCTGATAACGTGGTGTGCAAATTGGAGACAATCCCTCAAGGACAATGCCTAGAATACAACTATGACTACGAAAATGGATTTGCCATTGGTAAGACAAGTACTCACGGAGCGAATGGGTTCACATTTTCTCTTTAATGACATGAATATTTAGGCTGGTAAAGCTCCATTAATACCGATGTCTGACAGCTCTGAACACAGAAAAGTACGACATTAAAGATGACAAATTATATATGAAAATGGGCAACAGTATAAAGATATCTTTTCACCTGTGACATAAAAACACAGACGCAGGCAAGGGGAGATAATTGAACATCATGGGGCTTCATTCTGTAGTGCAAAAGAGATGAGAATCAGTAGAATAGCTATTAAGATGTACACCATAACAGTATTTCAGATATTTCAGATAACATTTCAGCTTTTGAGTTCTCATAGACAGTCCTAACCAGCAGGCGATTCTATAACGTACTGTATATGCAAGGCGTGGTTTATATAAGGAGATGAAAATATTTCCTATGAAAACCTATACTCTAAATAAATGCTGCAGCCTTTTAAGAGGCCAGCAAGCAAGCTGTTACAATAGTTACTGTAGCTCTTAAGGAGATAAGGGCATTCATGAGTTTCTCCAGATCAGACACAGTTCACACACTCACTGCGCAGTTCTTTCACAACTGAAAGTGAGCCAAGCTGGACTTTTTACTTTACCATCGTTGTTGTGTCTGATGTTTCTAGTCTCTTTAGCTAATGCGTCTTTTAAGATAAACCAAGAAAAACAGACGATCGAGGAGCTTTCCCCACGTGCTTGCTTTTTGACAGGTTCAGTAGCGGTATAACCCGTTGCCACGGAAAAGTTTTAACAAGAAACTATTAACAGCTAATATTTCAGAGATGCCCTCTTTACAGTCGCAGCAATGTTGTATAAAGTTATATTGTACATTGTGGAAGTAGGAAGAATACAGAAATTCTATAAAGCATTAAAAATTGATATCCACTACGGCCACACAGCCACCTCCCTACTCAATACTATTGACTTATTTTTAGTCAGTTTTGTGGTGCTGTTGCTGTTGCAGGTCCAGGTGGATGGGGAAATGGCTGGGGTTCACAGGGTGGCCTGGATTATGCCTACACTGACTCTGGCTTCCACAGTGACCAGTTTGCCTCCAAACAGCAAGGCGGGGCCTCACCAAAAATGGTACCTTTCAGGAGGAAAAGGCATCAGCATCAAATCCCTACAAGAGACCAGAAAATACAAATCATTTTCAACATAACAGGTGCGTTTATTTCAGAGCCTCCTGAAATAGTAAAAGCCACAAATGCCTAAGATTCGTGAATTTATGTTTTACTGGTACATTGTTTGTGCGTCAAAATATTTCCCCCACGTTGTTTCATTCTATAAAAATAGGGTGCTCCCTTGGTTGTATCAGTAAACAAGTACTGAGTCTCTGACACAGCTGTTGCATGTTCATGGCATGCCATCAACTGTGCTCAGGCTTCCTCAGAGCACCACCAGGGACAGGTTTGAGATTAGCCGACCAGATAAGATAAGATCCTGGGTGAAACAGCAGTTCCTTCCCAGGAGCCTGCTGAGCTCTGACAATGTCAGTGAGAGAATGTTGTAGGAAAATGTCTATCCATCCTCGTTCTCCCCATGCATAATCGGAGTCATCTGATGTAAAAGTCAGTTGGGGATTCCAGAAGGGGTGTTTTTAGAATGACAAATGCAGAAGATTGTTATAAAATATATGTTTGTAAGTGTACCATGCACTCATTGCTTCAACCTAGACTTGATTGTAAATACTACTTTGCATTATATTGTTTTGAAGAAGCCTACACCTGGAGAGCACAGCAACAGAGCAGAGAAACTTTTCAGTGAAAACCGAGATGCACATACTGCATAAGCTTTTGCATGCAGTGGTAGTGCCTTGTATATTTGTAAGCCTGAATCACTGCATCTTGGTTGAAGAGTAGGGGGCAGATGAATAAGACTTTAGCATTTTTCTCTTGAGTTCCAAAGGGATTTTTGTCCCTGTGTTCCTAGCAAGTGTCCCCTTGCCCTCGGAGAGGAATGACACAGCGGAAGCAGAAAACCAGAAGAGACTGCTCCAAACCCTGGAGAAAATGACTAACCGGTTAAAAAGAACCTTAAGCAAGCAGCCCCTGTTCACCTTCCGCGTGGCTTCAGAGGTGATTGTAGCTGACACTAAATCTCTGGAGAGTCAGAAGGCGTCTTTGTTCTGTAGACCAGGCTCAGTGTTAAAAGGGCGTATGTGTGGTGAGTCCTGATTCCTTTCCTGAACTTATATTCTAGTCTAAGACCTCAATTCTTGTGTATTTTTTGTATTTGGTGCATCATTGTACATTTGCAGTATACAATAACCATGACTGCAGTGTGATCTTTCATTCTCACTTGGTCTTAATCTGACAAACAGCATTGTTACGCGCATTCTTCTTGTATTGCTAGCAGTGTTGACCTATCTCTGTCTTATAAATTGACACAATCAAATCATTCGAAGTGCTTCTCCCATAACTTCAATAGCATGCAACAAATGAGCACCTATATAAAGGACTGGTTATGCACATGTTAGAGCAATATACTGACAGAGGGAACATGCGTGTATTGTACAGCTACCATCAGTATATCATGTAGCATTAAAGTTTGAAGTATTTTCTGGAATGACAGGAACCAAATAAGGGTTTTCTGAAGCAGTGGAGTGATAATCCTTATGAACAGAATTTGTAATAAAAGAACGTGTCTTGGCCTTCTTATCTGCTTAAGACCCACCTTAGCTTTGTGTGGTTTTCTTTTGCAGTTCACTGCCCCGTCGGAACCTACTTCTCCCTGGAGTACAATGCCTGTGAAAGCTGCTGGATTGGGTCCTATCAGGACGAGGAAGGCCAGGTGGAATGTAAAAGCTGTCCAGCTGGGTTTTCCACAGTGTACATGCACTCAAAGAGCGCTGCAGAATGCAAAGGTAAGGTCCATTCATAATGGTGTTGCAATGCCAGGTGCCTGTCTGGTGTGAATCTGTACTGTTCTGGGCCAGTGCCCACACTGTCAGGCCGGTTCCTGTCCCAAGGACTGTGAAAAGGTTTGGATTTTTTGGATTTATCTCAGATTATTCCTCATTCCATGAAAACAATTAGGCCCTGAAGACTGGCCTGAAAACTGGCCAGAGCTACTGTACTGTAGACCCCGTCCAGAGACTGCAGGGGGGATAACTGGACTGAGCAGGTTTAGTCCAGGTCTGGGACAAGAGTTAGCCTGAACAGTCTATGCAGGCACACCAGGGCCTGTGCTCCACAATACTCACTAGCACGTCCTTCAGGTTACTCTTGGTTTGTCATCACTCTGTCCTCACATCCTAAACATAACTGTTCACATATTATTTTTGAAAAGGAGCTACTGTAATATGCCACACAGTGGGGTGGGGGGGTTGAAAGATTATACCTATATACTATATCCAATACATGCTCTGTGGCTTATGTACAGAACAAATCATGTAATGCGACTCTTTTCTGGGTACATCATGTTTTTAGGGATGATTTTATGTGTGGAATGGCATTTTTCTTTATTTTAAATGTGTTACAAAATGACATTTTCAGCCATTGGCGGATGTAACAACAGTTTAAACAGTTAACATGAAGAGCTAACATTACTTTTTACTACTGCCACAGCTTATTATGGGAAATCTAAGCTGATTTCCTGTTGTCAGCTTGAAGGCTAACACTTGATTGTTAAAAGCATAAAACTTTCTGTTTCATTGTTGGGTTTCACAACAGCTTTCCAAGCATATAACTCCTGTCCCCTAGCTCTCTCTTTCTCTTTTTGGCTTGGTATTTTGCCCAGCCCAGCTACCTAACCCATTGGCTTCCCAGCTCTGCTTAAATTCCTGCAAAAGGTATTAAAATAACGATTAACCCCAAAACTATGGAAAACAGAGTTTCTGTGAACTAGTGCCCTCTAGAGGCCAGTGTGTCGTTATTGCAAGTACAGTATACTGTACATGCCATGTATCAGTCCAAGTTACTGACATTTACTACATACTGTATAAGTAAAGGGGGAAAGCAGCCATGTGCTCTCAGTTCAGCCTTCGGTCCTGTGCATGGGATACATACTTCAGCCTGCCTCAGTCCTCACTAGGGTTGTTCTCATTATGGATGGTTATTGCATAATAAAAACAGGAATGTATTTATAATAATAATAAATAATTGCCTACACTTATATAGTGCTTTTCTGGACGCTCCACTCAATGCGCTTTATAGGTAATGGAAATTCCCCTCCTTCACCACTAATGTGTAGCATCCACCCTTATTTCCCTTTTCAAAGTGATCTTGAACTTGAACTTTATTGCCATATGTAACCGGTAATGGTACTCTGGAATTCTTACTTACAGAAAGTCTCTCAATTGTAAAACAAGTGTAAAAAACAAAACAAAGTGCAGACAGTGCATCAAGACAATATACAAACAAACAGTAGACAATGTGCAAGTAAACATGTAGACAGTTTGAATGTAAACAATACAGACGTGTAAACAATGACTGGAGATGTGCAATAGATAAGAAATCAGAAAGAGGTAGATGGTGATGGTGTAGGTGTGGTCCGAGGGGGATGGCTAAATGTGTTCGCCAATCTCACTGCTTGTGGATCTATACGAAAAGTTAAGCTATTTTGGTTTTGACCATGCATGTTTTCAGATTTAATTTTAATATTTCTATTAAACCTTTCTTACACATCTCTGCATGATATAAAGATTGCTTTATGCTCACTGTTGCATACTGTACACACTGGATCTCGTCATCTAATTTTTCTTGTTAAATTCGAGTTTCACTCCATTTTATTAAGCCAAATCAGAAAATAGATGATCTGACTGATTGCAATGTGTAAAAGTGGTTTTCTCTGAATGAATTTGAATTCTACACCATTCATTTTTATTGTGTTTGTGAGTAAATAGTAAATGCTAGGTTCTGACATTGTACTGTTAATGACATCCACCACATAAAGGAATGGGGTATAATTTGAAAATAATTTTCTAGTGTTTGCATCTTTTTGAAGCTTTTCCAGTTTACATTTATTTATCAGCAGAGAGTTTAATTCTAACTCTCTCTGGCCTTATGTCTAAATGAATGTGCTGTGAGGAACAAGGCACAAACAAAATAAAGAAATGCTTCTTGATGGCAAGCAGTCATTCTTAATAACTAAAATCAGCACAGAATATTCACGATGAATGCATACATTTCTCTAGCAAATATCATTTGACAACATAATTCTAGCTCTTAACCGCACATAATGAATATGGCAAATGTGTTTTGTACTGAAATTGCATGACCTCCGTCTTTGAAACATTACATGCAGTTGAATGCCACATATCTTAATTAAATTAATGAACAAAATAGAGTTAAATAAACTGTCCTTTTCTCAGTAAAATAAATGTCCTGATCCTACTGTTGTGAAATACTGTACAATAATTCATGACAAGTGGATCTGAAAGGATCCTGTTTGAAGAATTACACCACATCCAATTAAAACACAAACTACAGCAGTTTTTTAAGAAGCTTTTTGTTCCTGATTTATTTATATTGTTTTCTGGCGCATATTAATACACTTTGCAAATAACTGAACTTTACTAACTAATAAACATCACAGGGTATTAAATGAAGTGTTTATGCGATGCTGATGTTCAGTTATTTATCTTCACTTTGCAAATCAGTCACATTATGAGTATGTGGTACCGGTAGAATTTTATTGTTATCACTCTTCTTAGAATATGGAGGAAGTGTTTTTTTTTGTGCAAATGTTAATTGTGGGGCTGTCATAAACCACAGGGATGAAACAAAAAGAGAAAAAAGTCTCTGCTCGCTGCCTGTGTATTTCTGAGTGGTTGTGTACGTGCATTTGTGGAAACCTTTTGCTATTTGTGGTGTATTGCTTCCTGGAAAGTACAAGGCAAATATACATGCAGCACACAGTACACGGGTAGTCAAGGACCCATCCAGTTTTAATTTATGAATTTTAATATATGAAGCGTTGTTTATATTTCAGTCTTTCTGTGTACTGGACAAATTTAAAATTAAGAATTAAATCCGGTTAGCAGAAATTGGTGGCTGTTGACCCTATCTCAAAACTGCAAACTTGTAGTAACTGGCCGAAGGCATCTTTGTGATAAAAAATCAACTACAATTGTGTATGCACCCTCAACCGACACAACCACTGTGTCCTGCATTATGAATAATGCGATAACAGTAAAAACAGATTTTGACATTTAAAGATGTTCTGATTTCATTAATAAAATGAAAAATGTATCAGCTAATGTCTCTTTCATTTTCTTTTCCAAAGCCTTTCAGTCTTGACACAAAAGTGTGACTTGATTCTAACAGGGCTAACTGGGGCTCTGTCCCATTGTTCCCGTGCTGCAGTAAAATGATAACTTTATTATTTTCATGTTCAGCGCAGTGCAAACCAGGGAGCTTTTCCGCCAATGGTCTAGAAACCTGCGAGTCCTGTCCCTTAGGGCAGTTCCAGCCAGCGTTTGGGTCAAAGTCATGCGAGGTCTGTCCTAAAGACACGTCCACAGTGAACAGGGGAGCTGTGGATGTGACTGAATGCGGAGGTGAGTGCTGACAGTGATGATTTTGAAATGTTCAGTGTTGATATCTGAAAAACAAAATACAGCCTACTTTAAGTGAAGGAGAGTCACGTTAACGTTTTAATACTCTACACATATCGAAGAGTGAATAGCTATCGTTTGATTTAATTAATGAATATTTGAATGAAACATTCTGCTGTAGCATGTCCAGTCCCCTTGTAAATCAAAATATTTCCACAGCAAACCCTTTGTTCGTATAGTCTTCCAGTTTGGACATTCCAGTTTTATGTCAGTTTGGCCCTCTACTAAGATTCTGTCTCAAGAACCATTTTGCCTGGTAAAGAATGGATTAACTGTGTGATTCAAGATCACCCTACCTGAGGTCCGCAGGCAGTTGTAGTGCTGCCATTTGGGAAATTACAGAGCCAGATGTGAATAATACAGCCTGGGCACAAGCCAGCCAAGCCTGGAACATAGAGTTTAGCTTACACTTTCCCCGTTTGTTTTTGTTAGCTGAGTCACTCGAGAGGCCTCACAGCTAAATGTTTCTGCAGGTTAAATAGGTATCTTACTAAGTTGGGTTTTCACTTTTCTCCGCTCCAACATAAACATAATTGTTGTGCTGAAATAATTCTAAACTCTGAAAAGGCACAATCCCTTCTAATTGTTAAACAGATTTAAATGAGGAAGGGGGACTGTGTTTTGCTTTTATTAGAGAATCTGTCATTTTGTTGCATAAACACTGAAAATTATTTGTGAATGTTTCTCAGGAATACTTTGAGTTCAACAGATGCAGCAGTGGAAAACACACGAAGGAGCAATTTGATTCTCCAGTCATCTGTATTAATATGATTCCTTTTTGCAGGTAGCAAAAATAATTAGTTGTTATACAGTATATGGCTGTAAAGAAACGTTAGCTGTTAAAGAAAATATGTACAAGAGGGTAAATAAAGCTGAAAAACTGGAGGACTATATCTGTGTAATGATTATACTTTTAAATGAGCCATTTAAAAAGGGATTTTGAAATTCCATAAAATTACAGCATACTACACTCACAGTTGTCCTTTGATTCCTGAGATAAAGAAACATTTAACGCTTCAAAGCCACGGGTGTCTGCTGTTAGGAGACGATGTAGCACTAAGGAACTGTGTGATGTCTCTGCAGTGCCATGCCCTGCAGGGCAGTTCTCTCGTACTGGGTTAATGTCCTGCTACCGCTGCCCACGAGACTACTACCAGCCTGAAGCTGGACGCTCCTACTGTTTGTCCTGCCCATTTTATGGCACCACAACTATCTCTGGAGCCACAGCCATCAGTGACTGTTCAAGTAAGTTTTCTGCAGTATTTTCTTCCTTTGAAAAGATTTTATTCAGCTGTAACAGAAAAGTAAAATGCCTAGATCTAGAATTCTGAGTGCTTCGTAGGAAGAACGTTCTCAATCGATTGAATATCTTTCTTTTTCCGCCTTTAGTGTTAAACTTGCACAATTTCAACAAACATTTAAAGATTTTCTGGGAGCCATCAATATGCTTGCCTTGTCTTCTGCAGCTCTCTCTCTCTCTCATTCATCTGCGCCTCTTCTTAGTCTAATCTATGCCGTCTTGTGAAGTTCAAAGATTTCGCAGAAGAATGAATCAGATATTTAGAAAAGGCCTTGAAGACTGTTTTCTTCAATCATCACTTAGTTAAAAGATTTTTGCTGTACTTGTCTACCAAGAATCACATGCCTTTACAGACATTCTTAATTAAAAAAAGAAACAAAATCTTATAGCCCACAGAAACATTTTTTTTTTAATATGACCTATTTTTTTTCTTCTGGACTGTGTGTCTACAGTGGGCAAACTCTATCCAAGGATGAACTCCTCAAAGACTTAAAGAATGTTTTTGAAGGAATAATGTATAAAGGAAAGGAACCCCTAACTAAATATGTATACTGTATGTACACCAGTTCTGCAAGCTAAAAGGGAGGTTCCCTCTCAATTAAATTAATTTAAGGCTCATTTACCACAGAATGGCATATGATTAATCACTATTACACACTTGCATATAATGTCATAAAATGCTTCCTGTTCAAAGCAGAAAAAATGCCTAACAACACAGGGAGCCTTAACTATAACTGAGGCTAAAACATTGAAGCACTGATAATATAAAAAACAAAAATCACTTTAAAAAAATAAACCATTCAAAAAGAATAAAAAACATATTAGAAAGTCATTGTCTATATCCAGAATATGGCCAAGAGCACATATTCGGGAATAAGACTTGTATCCAGCCGATGGTTCAATAATTGTAGCAATTAAATTATGTGCCCCAAATTATTTTATGGTTCTTTTCAGCCTAGGGTTAGCCCACTGACTATGTTGTTGTTTTTTTTGTTTAACACACTGGAACAATCTCTTCTTGCTCATCACAGCGAGAAGGGTGTACATTTTTTGATGTAAGATGTAATGTACTGCCGCGTTTGTACACTGTGAGCTCTGGTAGCGAAGTGGTGCCACGCCGAGTACAGTATAAACACTTGAAAATCGGACATTTTTGAATGGCTCAATGTTACTCTATCAGGTCTCGGTGTGCGTCAAGAATGGTACGTGAAGATGTGTTGTGTGGACACTGTCTATTATTAGCTTTATGTTGTTTATTTGTATTGTATGTCCTTTAATTGCATGAGCTCACCAAACCAAATCCCATGCAGCTCCTGTAGTTGGTATGGCAATAAAAGTATTGACTGAGTGACTGATTGATCAATAAACGCTAGTCAGGCATTGGCCTCTTCAGAAGCATTTTCAGACTCCGTGTTTAATTCCACGCAGGCTTTGGTTCCAGCTTCTTGCCAAAAGAAGAGAGTGTGGTGGTTTCAGTCTCTCCAGACAGCATCAGAAACAGTTACCAAGCCAGCAGCCAGGTCTGTGAAGGACTTTCTTTGACATTGGGAATTGTAAAAGTGATGTGATGCATGCCAGCTTTTGCTCTCAGATCTGACAGGAACACGTCAGATGCAATCCCAGAATCCTTTTCGTGCAGCCGTACATCCAATGCAAAGGCAGAAAATAAAACTAAAAATATACCTCTGCAGTCCTAGTTGCTGAACTGCTGAATGACATGTGAGGAGATGCCATCAATTCAGTTAAAGGTTAGTCAGGGCTTCTAGGCACACCAGTGTTAACGGGACTGTTCCCAGGTATTAATGGGGGTTTTTGTGTTTTCTGGTCAGAAACAGCTAAAGTGTCTAACTTGAAGGAAGTTCAATTAGAAAATCCAATTTTGTTTGCAATAATAGCATTTTTGAAACAGCTGGGAATTCCCTGAAACCCAGACCTGACCCGGCTGCTAATATGGTTCAATCATCTCCCCTCAAAACTGAAAACTCAGCATATAAAAACTGCAAGGAGCACATTTATTTATTTATGTATTTATTTACATAACAAAGGAAACTCACAATTCCAAATATTCCAAGTGCTGATTTTGAGCTAAAACACATAAGAAACTTGCATAGGCTATACCCTGTATGTGCTCTTGTGTCTACTCTTAAACATATGTACTAAAATATAGTCAAACAATTAAGCACAGAGAAAATATGGACACTTTAATAAAGATTGTTGTATTTGTCTACCATTTGTTGTTTCAGGAAAGAGATAGTTAATACAAAGAACTACATAAAACCTGAAAAGATTATTGTCAGATTTCATCACGTAATACAATTTGTTCTAATGCTTATACGTGCTTTAAAACCAACAATAGTATCTAAGAACGTAGCCCTCTTCCATGGCTTTGGGACTGGTCTCTGTCATAGAGTGAGTTTACCCTAATCAGACGAAAAAATAAGTGTCCCCTGTTCAGTCCACCTCCTTCAAAGTGTAACTGCTGCAGCTGATGGTGTGGTTCAGCACAAAACACATTTTCAGTACAAATAACAGGTTATCCTTTTGCTTCCCCAGGTGTTTCACGAGTGTTTCCTCAATCCGTGTCAAAACAGAGGGACATGTGAAGAAGTGGGAGCCGGATATATTTGCTTGTGTCCGTTGGGGTTTACAGGCAAGGGGATTTT